CATACAAGCATGCATGCACAATTTTAGCAAGAAAGAGTGTGGGTGTCTACCGGAATGAAAAATCAGGAACATTTTTGATAATGAATTGATTCCTATGGGGCATCAAACTACTTGTTAGGATTACTATTTGGAGCCCATGGTTTGTTAAATAAATAGTAAGAGACCAAGCTGACAAACATTGATTTAGAATGTGAATCCCTAAAGTATAATGGTCATGTAATTTATATGTTCTAGACAGTATGATCAAAATACTTAGTAACTGATAATCATATAGAATGTGAGTATTATAAGAACAATCTTAGAGTACTTAGAATATGAACAATCTTATATTCTTAGTGATAGGAACAATCTTAGACTATAGTTAATTAGCTACCTCAGATAAATCAAATGTATGCACAATTATGTTATCGATGCAAGATTATATTCCATGTCAGCCACACCCATCTTCTACCTGGTAACTGAATTTCTTCAAGGGTGAAACTGAAACCCTTAAGATTATTTCTGTTCGAAAAGTATCTATTTACCAAATAAATCATTTTTAATGAAACAAATAATTTTTTTTTCATTTTATTGGGGACTCTTACAACTCTTTTCACAATCCATATACATCGCTTGCATCAGGCGGATTTGTACATACGTTGCCTTCATTCTTTTCTAGACATTTGCTTTCTATTGATCCCTTGGTATCAGCTTGTCTTTTTTTCTCCTCCTCTCTCTGCCCCCACCACCACCCTCATAACCCCTTGACAGATTGCACATTGTTATTATTTTCATCTCTCACATCAACCACTGTCTCCCTTCCCTGCTTTCTGCTGTTCTCCCCCCTGGAGAGGGGTCTATAGTTATGTGTCAATCATTGCAATTGGTTCCCCGTTTTTCCCTTCCTCTCTCCCTCATCCCCCTACCCTTCTGGTATCACTATTCCCACTCCTGTTTCTGGATTCTGTGTGTTGTGAGCTCCCATATCTTATCTATACCCGTGTACATGTTCCAGTCTAGTCTGAATTGAGAAGCAGCACTGGGGTCATGGTAGTGGGG